CACACACACACACACACACACACACACACACACACTCAAAAAGAAATGTCCCTCCATTTCGCTGGACTCCACCGGGATGAGGGTGTCACTTATTATTTCTGCATAACGGGGCCCATCCTAACTGATGAAGGCATCTGCTCTAAGGCCCAGCAATTCTACTTTCAGTCTGTCTCCCTGGTGACTCTCTCGCCCACACTGGGTAGCCACACAGTGACTGAAGATCCCGAACATAGCTCTGGAGAGGACAGACTCGTAAGTCACGGCAGGCGGTCTCTGCAGAAGGGACACCCCTTGGTGCTATACACAGCAACGGGAGTTATAAATACAGTTCTGATGGCTAAAGCAAGCTGCTTCTACACAGCATGATATCGGAACGCTCAAAACCACTCACCACAGTCATGGGGTACCTAACTACACAGTAACGATTTTTGAAATCAAGAGAAAAACAGAAAAAACAAAAAACAGGGAGAGAAAAACAGGCTCAAATTTCATAAGAGCCCAATTTTTATAATTTTGGATGGCTTTTAAAAATTGAAAAGATAGCTGAGCATGGTGGTACACAGTTTGAATTCCAGTACTCTGGAGGCAGAGGCAGGTGGATCTCTGTGAGCTCAAGGCCAGTCTGATCTACAGAGTGAGTTCTAGGCCAACCAGAGCTACACAGTGAGATCCTGTCTCAAATAAATAAATAAGATTTAAAACCATTTTTAGCTCTTAAGCTGTACAGGAGCCACATAAAGGGAAGCAGCAGCCATGTTTGACCATGGCGGGGTGGGAGTGGGGTGGGTGGGGGCGGGGTGGGGTTGGGGCAGGGTGGGGTGGGGGTGGGGTGGGGGTGGGAGGCCTTGCCCCAGTGAGGTCACAGGTGTTCCCTCTTCTCAGTGTTTTGTGCCTTTCCTAGTTGGTACTTTGACCGATGAGCCTGACACAGAGCAGGCAGAAGTGTGAGGAAAGAGAGGACACAGGAGAGACACACTTGTGAACTCCTCTGAAGATCCCCCCTCAAACTCTGACAGGCCTTTTCCAGAGGGGCCTCCCACTCTCCAGACAGTGGAGGGAGGTGGTGTAGTAAGTGAGAAACCTGGGGAAACTGGGGTGGGGAAGCATAGTGCTTATTACATAGAGCCATACATGCATCCTATTTACACCTACACCGCACACACACACACACACACACACACTTACATTGATTTTACAAGGATTTTAGCTGGACCACTGGTCTATGTAATCCAACTGAAACTGCCATTTTCTTCAGATTATCTATCTTGGAGTTCTTTGTGTGTGGGGGTGGGGGTGGTTTTTAGTTGTTTTTTGTTTTGTTTTTTGAGACAGAGTTTCTCTGTGTGGTTTTGGAGCCTGTCCTGGAACTTGCTCTGTAGCCCAGGCTGGCCTCCAACTCTGCCTCCCGAGTGCTGGGATTAAAGGCGTGTGCCACCAGCACCTGGCTAGTTGTTTGTTTTTTGGCACACGGTTACTCTGTACAGCCCTGGCTGGCCTGGAACTCGCAGAGACTGGCCTTCCCATGACTCCCTAGTGCTGGGATTAAAGGTGTGTGCCTTCACACCCAGCATTATATATCTTGTTAAGGAGAATCCAAAAATTGGTCTTTCACCTCCTGCTCTTCCCACACTCCTATTAAAAATGTCCAGGGCAGTGCTGGAGAGATGGTCCAGTGGCTAAGGCCATTGGCTGCCCTTGCAAAGGACACACACAGGTTTGGTCCCTAGTGCACAACTATCCATAACTTCACTTTCTGTGGATTCAACACCCTCTCTTCTGGTTTCAGCTGGCATCAGGAACCCACATGGTGTGTGTGCATGAGCGCGCACGCGCGCACACACACACACACACACACACACACACACACACACATACACACACGCACACACACAGGCAAAACACTCATACACAAAGTTTAAAAATAAAAAATTTAACAATGGTAAAGACAAATCCGTTAGCGTTAGAAGAGGCTTGGATGGGGTGAGCGCTTGCACATTGTCCAGGATGGTGCTGGGAAAGGGCAGTGGGGTTCCTGTGCTGCTCCTCGATTTCCTGAGGACCCCCACATCTCCTGGGATGGCACATCACATCTCATAGCTTCCTCCTTCTTCTTCCTCTGGAAATCGGCAGCTACACGCATCTTCCTCTTGAGCTGTTCGAACGGCCATCTTAAATGCTAGGAAACAATGGACACAATGTAAGACACTTCCAGTCTCCTGCCTCAGACACAGTTCTGTTCCACAAGTCACACCCACAAACCTCCTCAATCCTAATTTGAGCAAACTTACCTACTAACCAGGTTAACAGCGTGCATGAGCTTTCTGGAGACGGCTTATTTTATCTTACTGTGTTTTGTTTTATTGTGTTGTTTTGTTTGCAGACAGGGTCTCACTCTATTGTCTGGGCTGACTTATAACTCTCTCTGTAGGTCAAGCCAGCCTCAGACATGTGGTAATCTCCTTAGGTCAGCCCCCCAGGTGCTGGCATTATAGGCATGCCTCAACATGTCAGGATTTCCTTCCTTCCTTCCTTCCTTCCATCCTTTCTTCATCTTTAAAAACCATTTTCTATATTTTATACAGTGGCTTACAAACAACAATAAACCAAATTTTGAGCCCAACTCACAGCACCATAAAGCATGGCTTACATTGCAGGCACAGTTGTGTATTTAATGCAGCAGCGCCCTGCCCCCACCCCACCTTTTTTTTTTTTTTTTTTTCCACCTTTTTTTTTTTTTTTAATTTTGAGACACGGTTTCTCTGTATAACAGCCCTGGCTGTCCTGGAACTCACTCTGCAGACCAGGCTGGCCTCAGTCACAGATAACTGCCTGCCTCTGCCTCGAGTGCTGGGATTAAAGGCGTGCGCCACCACCGCCAGCTGTCTGCAGACTCTATTTCATTCTCACAAGTACTTCAGATTGGCTCCTTTTCCGTGTGACCTGTGGCACCCAGTTGTGTCCCACCACGTCTGCCTATGAAAGCAAAGAACTGATCTGCACAGCGGCGGAGGCTCTGTTACACGCAGCTGTGACCTCTCTGCCCTTCGGCTGAACAGCCTTCCATCTCTAGTTCTTTAAACTTAACAAAGCAAAAGGCCCTGTTCCAAGGCCATGTCGTCTATGTCCTAGATCCTATTTTAAAAGGGAGGAGGGGGAGGGGAGGGACGTTAAGTCAAGACTGAGAAACCCTGATGGGGCATCTTTTGAAATTACATCCAAAATTAACCAAAATAGTAGTGATTTGCTTCAGGGGGAAGATGCCTTCTTCCCAATATTTGCGGCTCTGTACTGTCTAAAAGTCCAGATATAACCCGGGAAACAAGCACAAGATGGTGGGAAGGTAGAGAGCTGAAGCTGAAGTTTTCCTGTGTCCCACCTGGCCCGGGGTCAGGACAAATCTCTCTCACCCGCCAGTCCTGCAGCCACTTGGACCCAAGTAAACTGTATGGCCTAGTGGCTCAGGCTTCTTGCTAGCTAGTTCTTACATCTTAAATTAACCCATTTCTGTTCATCTGTACCTTGCCACGTGGCTCATGGCTTACCAGGATCTTTACATCTTGCTTCTCATGGCAGTGGCAGCAGTGGCTGGTAGCGTCTCCTGACTCAGCCTTCCACTTCCCAGAATTCTCCTCTCTGCTTATCCCGCCTATACCATACTTCCTGCCTGGCTACTGGCCAATCAGCATTTTATTTATCAACCAAATCAGAGCAACACATTCACAGCATACAGAGTGATGTCCACAGCAGAGAGGAGAGGGCAGGATGGCCAAGACTCTCAGGGCCTAAGACGCAGCATGGCAGTAAGTGGTCTGGGTTTTCCTTCTGCCTCCTGTTCCCAGAGGGGAGCTGGAAGAGCGGGGAGCCTGGGGATCCCTGCACAGGGGTCGGAAAATCCTGCCCACTCCAGCTACGAGACCAGGGACAGAACAGCCTAGCAAGATGGGAAGCTTCTAGACAATCAGGGATTGTCACAGCAAAGGCCAGGGTCAGTTCTAGGCCCCTTAGGGAATGGGGCCTGTCACTCTGGCTAGACTGTGCCCAGGTTCACCTGCTCTTCCTCAGAGGAAGCCAGTGGAGAGTCACACTATACTGCCACCCCTGGTGCCACCCTTGAGATCTCATGGAGGCCACCTGGACAGCAGTAAGCAAGTATGATTTGTCATCTAAGCCAGGGTGGTGTCAGCTGGGGCCTGGAAGGATCTGCAGAGAATGACAGCAAGCCCTTCTAGGAAGTTTAAGGCAGAACTTCCTGGGAGTGGCCTCGGGGGAAGTCTGAGAAAACAAAGTTTAAATTAGACTCTAAGTCTCTTAACAGGATGGGTTTCAATGCAAAATCACTCATGCAACCTGGGAGATCTCGATGTGAGAGAGACAACTGAGTCACAGATGCTAGATGCTGGATAAGACAGACATTAGGATAAGAATTCCATAGTTGCCATCATCAACATGTCCAACAAGCAAGTAGGAAGACATCAGAAGCAAATGTGGACTAAAGGCTGGAGAGCCACTACAGTGGAGTGTGCCCAGAGTCCAAGGTAGGAGCATTGCTTGAGGCCAGGAGCTGAAGACCAAAGACTGCCCTGGGGAACACAGTGAGACCCAGATAGAGAATCCAAAGCAAACTAGTAGCTTCTTTAAAACTGAAAAATTGGCCGTGGGCAGCAGTGGCATTTAATCCCAGCAGATCTCTGAGTTCAAGGCCAGCCTGGTCTACAGAGTGAGTTTCAGGACAGACAGGGCTACAAGGAGAAAAACCTGTCTTGAAGAACAAAAACAAAACAAAACACACACAAAAAAAAAGAAAGGAAGGAAGAAAGATAGAAATGAAGAGAGAGAGAGAGAGAGAGAGAGAGAGAGAGAGAGAGAGAGAGAGAGAGAGAACTGGAGCTGGAGAGATAGCTCAGGGGTTAAGAGAGCTTGCTGCTCTTACAGAGGACCCAAGTTCAGTTCCCAGCATCTGTGTCAGGGAGCTCACAACCACTTGTAACACCAGCTCCAGGGGGTCTGTCTCCCTTTGAGATACACAGTGCACATACACATGGCGCTTCCATGGGCATATATACATTAAAAAATAAAAATACAGTTTAAGAAAAGTTTTTTGTTATGTTTTTAGAGACATGGTCTTTCTGTGCAGCCCTGGCTGTCCTGGAACTCACTCTGTAGACCAGGCTGGCCTCAAACACACGGAGATCCACCTGCCTCTGCCTCCCAAGTGCTGGGATTAAAGGTGTGCGCCACCACCACCTGGCCAGGAAAGTATTTTTTGTTTTTTTTTTTGTTTTTTTTTTTTTGTTTTTTTTTTTTTTTGTTTTTTCGAGACAGGGTTT